TTGACGACTTAATGTCATCATCGGCGAGTTCATTCAGCACACTTTTGTGGCACCATTCCGGGCGTTGTATGGAAGTAAATTTTAGGGAGAGTTTGACTATTGATCAAGTAAACGACAAAGACCCGACAGGTGGACGCGGCAGCGATAAAGCGACATATCATAAATCGCATTTCTAATCATATATCGTAAGCGATTCGAACCCATGAGAATAAATGATACAACTTGCAAATTACCAATACGAGAACAGCTGAAGTAATTCATCCATGTGACTGTCATAAAAGCGCATAAATAAATCTGTTCATTCAACAATTAATATTGTTCGAAGAGGATGCACAAAAATGTATCAGTTATTGTGACAGTAGTCAACGAGCAAGTTGATCACGTTGTCAAGTGCTCTTCTCTTCTGGTCGATGCCAGTAGATCAGTATCGCTGCATCCATCTTGTCAGTGAATTCGACCGAATGAAATTGTATTGGATACATTGAAATATGTATTCATTTATGTTGGTATTTGTACTCAACCAGTTTATCACTGGATAAAACGCAAGCGAACAACTGTGATATATGTTTGATACGCATTCGTTTTTGAACCGTTAAATTTTCACACTTTGACTATCTTTCGAATCGCCGTTATCTTTTTCTGATATCTTGATCGAAAAGACCAGCGATTAGATATGCTGAAGGGAATTATGTGAATCTTCTCCGTATATAGACTATACGGTATTCAGAGTAATTTGGTTCATGAGATCTCGTTGTGACATACGTTTTTACTGTTGAAAACTCATTGTTTGAACGTTTCAGATTGGAGGCTACGATGAACTTTTGAGCGAATAGATGCAAAAGCCCATTCTCTTGTACCCATAAACGTATTTGACTTCCAGAAGTTATAGAAAGCCACGAAGAGTTTCATCTGAATTGTTTCCAGTGCACGGCTAAATGAACACACAATTGTTCTTGAATTGATTACATTCGTTTCTTGCTCTAATCTGTATGGAAATAGTGCGATGTCATATTACATCAAACTTGTTCACATGATTCACCCAAATATTTAGCAACATTTTTCAAAGCCTTCTCAAGAGAATGGCCGATAATTAATTCCATAAACTCACCACATCAAACAATTGATATTGTGCACAGTTGAATTATCGTTATGTGATTGATACAAATGGATAAATTTTCATAAATCGTCGATGAATGACGCAATCACATGCGTTTTTGCTCGCATTTTGGAATTAGGTTGCATGGCTTTGTTCTACGCGTTTGCGATTTATTCACAAAATGAGTGATTAGAAGTGTTTCAAAGATTCGTCAAATGCATGGCACTGACATATGAGCAAGCAGCGTATCGTATCTTTTGTGACATCCAACAGACGGCGAAACGTTGTAATATTTCTTTTCATCTTATTTGTTCCACATAACATGGAGAGAAATAATGAAATGAATATGATCAACTGAATTGTTTTCAGTAAAGACATAAATTCCTGAAGAGTGCATCTTGTGGGAAGGTACTGAGGAATATATTTGCACTTTTAAATAACCAATATAGTGNGCAATCAATGACAATACCAGCACCGAACTATATAGTAACGAATAGGCAATGGAATCGCAGAATTTATTTACCAGCACCGTTTTGGGATCGTTTAACATTTTGCAAACATGTTCAAAGGAAAACATCTTAGTTTCTTTGATGTGCAGGAAAAAAATCGATGTATCCGAAGCAATGATTCAGATTTGCATGAGGCAGATTCGTGGCGTTCTCAAGTACTGTACTGCAGGAAAGCAATCTGTCCCTGCTCTGCAGCATCATAAATAATCCAGTAATATTATTTATGAACAAATTTCATCCATCAGATCGACTTTCAACTTTAGTACTCATTCAACAAAGCATTAGAATCACTACTGAAAATATGCGAGCAGTCATTGATTGAGAGTTGGACGAGGAATGAGAATCATGAAAAGTTTTACTATCAATTTTTACGCCACTGATTTTCTAGAATATCAGTAATGAACTGAACAAAGTGGTGATAATGCAAGATTGTAATTGCCCATAAAAGCATCAAATCACTACACTCAGTGTTACACAGCGAACTTGAGAGAATCACTGCATGATGACCTTCGTATAAATTATTCATTTTCAGCATGATTTTCATTTTTAGAATGGAATCTAGTTCACATGTCAGTACGTCAAGTTTCATTGTTTATCTGATCTACATTTCCTACGTTTGCTGTTTCGAGTAGTATAAATACAACCATCCAGTCGTGATCATTTCACAACTCAATTCTTTAGTTCAACAGTTGCAGTTAATTTCTTCCACCCTCCTCACCATTGCTTTCAGTGCACCTGTAATTCTACTGCGAAACTCGTTTAACCACCACCACACACCATTCGATATTCAGTTCACTAATCAGTGATGAAAACAGATTCATCATTTCTCGATTTTATTGGATTGATGAAGTGGATTCCTTTGATACAAATTTCTTCTCATAACTCTTTACATGTTTGACATTTCATGTTTGACATCGCAGTAGAATTACAGGTGCACTGATTTCTAACGTTGCACTGTTTGCAGAACAGCATTTACACTCAAACAATCTTATANTTAGGACATTACGCACTAAGCTTGTTATCATATTCAAATGGTGAGCCATACGCGAACTTTATAGCGTATTTCCAATGAACGTCACTTTTTCTCAGAATGTCCAATTTTTCTCAGAATGTCCAAATCCAATTTCTCAGAATGAAGCTGTCGACAGCTACGAGCATTTAAAAATGCTCACAGTTTTTATTCCAGAAAAATCGTACAAACTGGATCCTGCATCACTTATTGATGAGAATATTGAATGGTGATAATTATCCACTTTTTCAGAATGAGTATATCAGATCTCTGGGATTTTTCATGAATTTTTCGCTGAAAATAAGCAATGTTCTTATAGAACCTTAACTGAACCAGTCAAACGTCATTCAAGTCTCTGTAATCTGCAGCAGATACCTAATGAGTGCTTTCCATGAGCATTTAAAATAAATTCGTTCTTATCTTTTGTACATTTCATAAATTAATCTTCTCTGCGCTATACCAGAAATAATGCTCAAAATTGGCTTCATGACTGCCAAATGGAACGTCACCATATCTCAGCTGATACGATAAGAGCTGACTATGCACTACTACTGAAATTGCTCATGTTTTCACTTCGTAGTAAATCTTTTCGTGCAATACTATACAATGAAATGACGTTCTATAATGTACGTTAGTCCAACAACTTCATCCTGAATTATTCACAATTTCAGAGATTTTGATCAGTTGATGATGCTCAGAACTACCGTTTCGTTGGTATGTCTTACTGCACTTTCGGTACTGTGCATTTTCCCGCAGGGAGCAATCAGCGCCAGTATTCGCAATAAGGATTATCTAATCCAACCCTCAGAATCAGCAGGAATTTCATCCGCAACCACGGAAGAGATTTCTCCTGAAGCAACATCGGCTGAACCCAAAGAAGTGGAATCGACCGCAACAATTGAGGTAGAAGCTGAAACTACAGAGGCAGAATCCATCACAACAGTAGCAGAGCACGACCCCACAGAGGCAGAACCCGCCACCACAGAGGCAGAATCCGCCACTACAGAGGCAGCATCAGTGACTGCCGAGCTAGAATCCACTGCCACGGTAGTGGAACATCTAGAAACCACGGAAGCAGAATCGGCAACAACGGAGGCAGGACCAGCAGAACCAGAGGTCTTAGGCACCGGCCCTTACCACAAACCATAAAATGCACATGATGCTCAACGAACCATAACATTCAAAAATTGCTTGATTTATCTTCTTTAGTTTATTCATTTAGGCAACAAGTGCCGTTAAGCAATGTGCTTCGGCTGTTGAGCTGGAAATTTTTTTCGGAATTCCAACAGCGTCGTTGTTTGCTGGCATTGTTGCTATTAATATGTTGCATATTTCTGTACTGTTACTCAAAGGATAAATCAATAAATAAATGTAATGAATGAACGAATAAATAAGCGAATGAATCAGCGAAAAATTTACAAGTTTCTTACTCGTCTACAGTGAGCACATATCTGAACCTTCAAGCACGCTTAAAACATTTCATATATCGATTGATCAGTAACAAACAACAATTAATCTCCAGCTTTTGGTCGTCAATCAAAGATTTGGTCGTGTTGAAAAGCAATTCTTCATTTCAAATCTCACGATAAAAATAACAGTCAATTAAAGATTACTCATCGAACCGCACTGATACATCTTTATAACCACAGCATCCAATACAACCTTTCCAACTACAAGTACCAAGACATCAACAATTTCTTGAATGTATAAACGAATTATGGCGTGTTTGCTATCTGTCGTGAAATATCACATAGCCTATTCAAAACACCTGCATG